TTTTTTTTTTTTTTTTTAAAAGAACGATTCTCAAAAAACTTTCCACTGACTTAATTCAGTCCGTTGAACATTAACAAAAACATTGACGCGTATATGCTTAATTACGCCTCCCATTTCGCTCGTCTCAAAGTAGATGTACAAGACGCAGCTCGAAACATGTACACCTTGTCCACCTTGTTATACGTACATGCGATGTTATTCGATCGATGTGGTGGTAGTTGATCCTCGCTACTTAGATACTTAACGATTAACATCGACGTTCGACGCCCAACCGGAGTTGGTCTAATCCTTGGATTATACGGGGACGATGTACAGCTGACACGTGGCTACTTCCGGCGAGAGGAGGGGGACAAGGTGTCGCGTACCTTCGTTGACCATGACTTCCTGGCCAGATGGACGATGAAATCGAGCGCATAGCGACAAATTTTTTTATATTTTTCTGATCGAGTAAAAAATATATATACAAGCTTCTTTCTTAATCTTTTTGCGATCAATTTTAGATGAATAAAAATTTCTAAAACAGGGAGACGATAAATATAAATTCTTCTTCGTTTTTCGAGTAAAAAGAAAAAGTATTAAAGTTATTCGCACGATGTTCAAACGTGTGAATATAATGCAATCGATTTCTCGCTAATAATTTCCGTTCCCATCATGAATCCTTCGTGTAACGCGAAGATAACAATTGCGATTCGTAATAATTCTTCTTCAATTAACAATAATAATGGTGTATGAATGTAATAAATTCCTATATCCAATTTTCCACTCGTCTGCTCGCGTTACGTTTTTTTTTTTTTTTTTTTTTTTTATTTGAATTCTCGAAAAGATTAGAAAATTGGAAAAAATGCGTATTTTATTTAAATGTTTCCAATTTACGTGAGTCGGTTGTAGTGAAAGAAACGAGCTTCTCTCGTCAAGCACGAGTTTCAACGACGATGTTTGCGCGAAATGATTTTTACGTGGAGATCGTAGCCGTGCAATTAAGATAGGGTTGTTAATTCGAGTACGAGAAGCGGAAGTTGAAGAAGTTCGTTACAAGTGTTTCAACAGGTGCGTTAACACGGTTTTCACCCCGACAATGCTTCTCCTCCCGCTCCCTCCCCCGTCCTATTAAGTCGTTATTCGCTCTAACGTTGCGTGAAATCGACGTCTTTGTGAAACAATTTTCACTTTTTCCTCGTTGTTAACGAGGATTGCGCCCCTTGGTCGTGTAGAAAATTGCCGGGCATCGGGTGAGAAAAGAGATTTAAGGGATGAGAAGAGGTGTGTTAAAAATTTTCTTCCTTTTTCTCTCCTATCCTTCTAATTTCCTAGAATTTCTTTTATTATATTTTTCTAAGCGAATTTCGGCAAATTGTAATATTTCGAAAATCGCTTCGTCCCAATCTTCGTTCTCGATGAAAAATTTTCGACTTTTCAGACTCTATGCCTAAAAAAAATCCGATAATTACGATATTTTGTCGATCGATATTAATCAAATCTTAAGCCTTAAGCATTTTCAAAGCATAATTTTTAATTCTTTTGATCCCACGATTAAAATTGTTAATCAAGTAAAAAAGAAAATGACAATATTTCAACTTGGATGGAACGCTTGGAATTAAACACCTTAAGAAGTTTCGAACGACAGAGGCGAGCCAAAATCTTTCAGTGACACGGTTTACCGAGGAAAGGGTCGGAGACCGCAAGACCTTAACCACCGGTTAATTAATACTCATTCGACTTGGAACCGCTCATTTCCGTAATCAAACCGAGGGACAAAAGCGTTTATTCTTTCTCCAAAACCTCGTTTTATTATCCTTTTGCAAAAGGGAAAGGACAACGATCGCGCGTGCTCGGTTTCACGAAACACGAATGCGAACGCGTAAACGTTGATGAGCACCGCGTAAAAACGGATCCCTTCACCCGGAAAATTGGCACGAACGATGATAATCCCGCGATCTCGGTACAGTTGGCGCTTGCTTTATCTCTAAATTACGTACGGTGAGGTTAGATTATAAATCTAACGAGATAACGTATCTTAATTCGATAGGTGGAAATATAGTTTGCAGTTAGGGAACGGCGGTATTATCAACGATTTCACCGATTATTATCGATTTCAAAACGGGCGATGATGATGCTTTTACGCGTTGAAATTCACGCTGTTGAATGCCTCTATCTCGACGAGGATCTTGGCCAGGATCGGATTAGATTCGAAAATTTCTCGAATCTTGTTATTATTAATTATTATTGTTATTAAATTATTAGACGATGCGAATCAACTTGGCGAGCAGTATTCTAAAAAGAAAAATCCATTTTATTACGAAATACGAATAAAAGAAAAAAGAAGAAGAGGAAGAAAAAGATCTTCGTACGTCATAATAATATTCTCATTATCGAACGATAAACTCGTTCGATAAACTTACGTCCGCACTTCTATCGCGCGGAAAAAGGAAAGAGATCTCGGTCGGTAAGGAAGCATAGGTGTTCCGTGGCGGGAGTGTTCCATCACTCGAAGGGAACAGAATTTGAATGATTCATGAGTGCACGCGTCACGTCGCACGAGAAAAAGAAAAAAGAGAGAGAGAGAGAAAAAGGAGAAAGAAACGCTTTTTCCCAGCGATAGGCAAGAGGATTTTCATGCAGACAAGTTGTCGATGATGCTGGTTAACTCTGGTATAAAGGGATGAAGTTTCGCTCCGAGGGATAGGCTTCTTCATGATTTATGGAAGATGCGTACAGTCGTACCTACCGCGTCGGAATTATTGCCGAGATTCTGATACGTCTTCCTTGTCCCAGTTGTCCTTCCGATTGTAACATGGTAATACCTTGCCACGTCAAATCGCCGAGCCTGATCATTTGTCCCAGTTCCGATCTCGTCGCACTCTTCGTGGCACTTGGCAATTGCCGATCTCTCGATGCAAATTTTAAAACCAGATACGTACGATCGATAGTTCCTGATTTGTCCAGCAATTTTTTTTTTTTTTCAAATTTTAAATTCGAATTAGAAAATAATCTTGCAATTTTTTGGAACTTGAGATGATCGAAAATTTTTTGATTCGAAAAATTGTTAGGATTATTCGCGACATTTGTTGTCACTCCGATATAATTCTGAATCGGGATATCATCTATTCTAATTGACTAGGGAGTACTCTATCTCGCAATTACCAATTTTTCCAACGTGTAATTGCGTTCTCGAATGATCGTGCATCGCGTGCACGATAAGTTGATCGGTGATAAGAGAGTTAACGCGTCTCGAACAACGGATAAGGAACGCATTTTCTTAATGAATTCTCTACACAATCCCCTGATAATTTCGATTTAAAAAAAAACCGATCGTTTCTTTTCCTTCAATAATTCTCTTCGCCTTTAATTATTTCCTCGATAAATTTTTCAATCAAAGTATCGAAAACTTCCAATCACCTCTCGATCCTGGAAAGAATTTAATCTAATTTAGAAAATTGGAAAGGAAATATTCGATCGAGACGACAATCGTAACGGTCTAACGTTTCACACCTTTTTAACACGGTGCAACGGGATTAGATATCGTTTTCGACGCCCACGTCGAGGAACCTTTTCCTCTTCCATTTTCCACTTAAGTCACGTGAAACGCTGCTCGCATACGAGAGAGACAAGGCTGTCTGAGAATTTACGCGTGACAGTTTCTCAGACGTGGACTCTCAACGAGGATTTCTCTATCTTCGATGGAGACCTTTTTCCACCACGCGCGTATATCTCTATGGGAGAGTAGAGATATAAAGAGAGATCGTCGTGGATTTTTTTTTTTTTCTTCCTCATTCGTGACCGAAACGAAAAGTTTCCGCGTCTCTATTAGCTTTTAATGAGATTGAAACGTCAACAATTTTATTGCCTCTCCTCCTTTTTACGATCTCTCCTCACGCAACCTATTTGGTAATGTATCAATCACGAACCGATAAAATCTGTTTTCGACGCTGTTGAAATATTTTCGACGCTTTTATTTCATGAGAAGAAAAAAAAGAAAACAGAAAAATTGTAGTCGATTCTCAGCTTCCCATTTTACAAATCTTACGAAGACGGAATGTAAGAGGGAGAATGTTCTGCTACTTCTGATTTAGAATTTTTAACGCACTTTCTAACCGGCAAAGAACATCGAATCCCATCCATCATAATTCTAAGTATTAAAAGTATATCAACGGCGGAGCTCGTTCTTGGTGAAAACTGGAATAGAGTTCGAAACGAGTTTCGTCTCGAGATTTCGAACGATAAATATAATGTATTAATTGTTGGTAAGAATATTGTAAGAAATATTGTATCGATAAATCGTTCGTGGAGCATCGTTGGAGTATTCCTTAGGATATCTTGTAACACCGAAAGAATCGACGAATGTATCGAATCACGAATATTAAATATATAAATCTCTTTCTCTTAATTTTCTTCTTTTAGACCGGGGTGACCCCATTGCAGAGAGCTGCTTCGGAGGGCCATTTGGAAGCGGTGGAATTATTGTTGAAACACGGTGCTGATGTCGCTCGCCAGGACACCGTGGTAAGCGAAAATATCATTTATCTTATCCGCCATTAATTAAATTACTTCTCTTCTAATATCATCTTTCCAATTCGCTTCGATTCTTCGACCGAGTTCCTAACTTTTACTTTCGATCGATGCAACGAAATAAATTTTTAATTAAAAAAAAAAATAAAAAATAAAATAAATAAAAATAAAAAATAAAAAATAAAAATAAATAAAAATAAAAAAAATAACACTGTTGCAAAGGGAAACGAAATGAAAACTTAAGAAATACTCGCTTCAAAGACTCATTTTTCTCCTCGTCTGTTTACCAACCTCTTCGAGAGGAACGCGCTCTCGTATACGATACCATTCCTCGGACAGAAAAACCGTCGAGGAGGAAAAAAAAGGCGGGAGGAGGAGAAATCGGTACCCGGAAGAGTACCGGCGATAATTTCGCCTGTTTCTTTTCCTTTTTTTCTTTTCTTCTTTTTTTTTTTTTTTTTTTAGAGAAGAAACAATTTACCAGGATTTTTGCGGGATTGGCAGCGGTGTTTTATCACTTTCTCGATCTCGATCCCCCTCGGGGGCCCTACCCGAGCCGAGTGAATTTTCATCGTTCTTTCGTAACTCCTCGTCCCCTCTCGTTGTCCCGGTTAACGAAGTGAACGCGACACACGAGTCTCTTGGTTACACGATGGCAAGGAGAACACGGTAATTCGGTGACAGAAGCTTTCGCGTGTAAATCGTACGAGCGTATTGGGAAATCTCAAGATTTTTCTCCTTTCTTTTTAAGGGGAACGAGGCTCCAGGCTTGTTATTATTAGTAAACTGTGTGCGATAAATGTTGTTGAAAAAGAGGCGGAAAGAGGGATGGAATATTACGTAATCGACATTATCCGATTACGTTGTAATTTGATCGACGAAGCTCGAATATAATAAAATTATCGATAATTATAAATAGGTAGGTAGAATCGATACGAAGAATACGTGAATCTCCGTGAAAATATTCACACTTGATGTTTCCACGCACTTTCCTTCGGTTTTCGGAAAACCGATTCCATCGATCGCGCGGAAATGTCCCATACGTCGTTCGACGAACGTGTCCCGTAGTTGGAACGCGACGGTGCACGATGATACGTGTAATTATCGTGAACGACGAAAGGGAGACAAATATACGCGTGGACTCGCTCGAGATCTCGTTAATATCGTATGCAAATCGAATGCAGATTTCCACTTTCCTGCGGCCTGCCTCACGTGTGCAGGCAGGTGTAAAATTTGCGCCCAACTTTCATCAAGCTTGGGATTACGCATGATACGTATGAACGAGGATCCCTGGCCGCCGTCGTCAGGGGTCATGGTGGACGATCGATATATGGATACGTGGACAGGTGTCATTAAGTCGTAAACCGTTTAATGGCCGTCATTACCGATATTGTATCGCGTTCGAGCCTTCGATCGGGGACACCGATTCCCCCGGTATCTACAGGGCTGCAATTTCGCGGACGATCCGCGTAATAAACGGCAAGAGGAGCGCAGGTAGGCGTGTATACTTTACGTCTTAATGACCGCCGCTAAGAATTTTCGATCCGTCCGCGATGCGTTTCTTCAATGATTTATCTGTAACGTCAACGAGGAACGCGCAAAATGACGCGATTTTAAAAAGTGTAATTAGTCGTAAGTAGTTGGTGGAATGATTTTTAATTTTTTTGTTTTTGCTCTTTTTTTTTTTTTTTTTTGAATAGTTGTGTAAAATTGTACACGAATTTATTTAGTAAAATATCGATGAATTTGGAAGAAAACGTTTCGAAGATAAAACATACTCTTTCTTATCTAATTCCATTCGAGGAAAGATTAGAAATTGCGAGTTATAGTCAAACTTTTCACTTGTTTCCCCTCTCTCCGAAATTTTTGTTAAATCTTCTGAGATAAAAATTTCAAAATTTTCACTTGTTTTCTCTCCCTTCGTGGTTTTGCTAGTTGAAAAAAAAAAACTTAAAAAACTTTTGAATTGTTAACTTTCATCTTCCTCCGTGAAGTTTTCGTTAAATCTTCTGAATCTTCTGAGATAAAACGTACTCTTCCTTATCCAAATAATTCCATTCGAGGAAAGATTAGAAATTGCAAGTTGCACTCAAGTTATTCACTTGTTTCCCCTCTCTCAAAAATTTTTGTTAAATCTTCTGAGATAAAAATTTCAAAATTTTCACTTGTTTCCTCTCCCTTCGCTGGTGGAAAAAAAAAACTTTTGACTTGTTAACTTTCCCCTCCCTCTGCGAAGTTTTCGTTAAATCTTCTGAGATAAAACGTACTCTCCCTTATCCAAATAATTTTATTCGAAGAAAAAATAGAAATTGCAAGTTGTACTCAAATTATTCACTTGTTTCCCCTCTCTCCGAAATTTTCGTTAAATCTTCTGAGATAAAACTCAAAATTTTCACTTGTTTCCTCTTCCTTCGTGGTGGAAAAAAAAAAACTTTTAACTTTTCCCTCCCTCCACGAAGTTTTCGTTAAATCTTCTGAGATAAAACGTACTCTCCCTTATCCAAATAATTCCATTCGAAGAAAAATTAGAAATTGCAAGTTATACTCAAAATAAAGTTTAAAAAACTTTTGACTTGTTCCATTCGAAGAAAGAAATTGCAAGTTGTACTCAAAGTAAAGTACTTTAAAAAACTTTTGACTTGTTGACTTTCCCCTCCCTCCGCGGCGAAATCATCTCCGATTGATTATTATCGCGGAGATAATCGTGGTTTCATATGGATAAAATCGGTTTAATGGGAGGGGTACTTGCTCGCACCGGGTGGATACCGGGCCGATCGGTAATGCATGGTATTAAGCGTGCAGAAAATATTTATCGTCTGTCCCGTTCGAGCAGTTTCGCGGAATTGTGGACGGTTCCTCCTCTTCTCCTCGATTCTCAAAGAAAAGACGCGAATATATTATTTCTATGGGACATCGATCTCGTTGCGGATCGTTTGATGGGATTATGGAAATTTATGTATCAGGAAATTGTAAATTCGCGCTGTTGGCCACGATTATCGACGAGCGTATCTTTTTCCTATATTTTTTGTGTTTTGGTGTGGAAATATTATTTCTTTCTCTCTCTCTTTGAAGATGGTAATTTTTAGTAATTTTTACACGAGATCGTAAATGGATAATTTAATCGAATTAATAAATTCATCGAGCGAATATCATTTGGATATTCTTTCTAACTTTTTTGCTCGAGTCGAAAGCGTTTTTCTTCGTCCATCCAATCCCTCGGCCGCGGATCCAAACGGAACGAATATAATCTTTCCAAGAATCCTTTCATCCCACAATACACGCCGCAGGGTTTTAACAAGATCCATGGTGGAATTTCTCTCAACGGGGAGTCCCTCGAAATACCCCATATCCTCCTTTTTCCATCGGCGCGAGTCGCGATTCCCGATGTTATCCATGTTCGAGTGACGTCTCGGCGATATCCGCGGCAAACGGAATGCAAATGTCAAAAGAGTCGCGAGCATCCAAAAGGAACGCGACGAACGAGTCCCGAAGGCCCTATCGACGCTCGTGAATCGATCCGCGATAGGGAAGAAGAAAGAATCGCGCTGGCAATGCGCCTACGACACCGGTTTTCGAGAGAGAGTATGATAGTCGATAGTTTCGAGTAATCTTTTTGCCCTTCGCTTTTCGAACGAATATATATATATATTTTTTCCAATTTTTGTATTGAAAGTTACTTAAATAATTCATAAAAATTCGACCGATACAAAGAAAATATATCGTATCGTGTAAAACGTATGTTAAAAGTATACGAAAAATGCTTCAACTTTTGTCATCAAAACTTATCCAAGATATAGGGGAAACTATGCCATTGAAGCCAGTTTTTGATTCGTCCGGATATCTCGATCCATTGCCGAGATACAAGGATTCAAAGTTTCCATAACGCTCAATAGGGAGCTTATGAATGGGTTTACGACCTACTTTTTTTTTTATTACCTTCTTTCTAGAATCGCGCACTAAGCGTTTTTCCAGGAATCGAGTCTGCGATGTGTCTCGAGTTTGGGATAGGTCGGTGAGACGGGTGCGAGCGAGAGATCCGAGTAAGCGACGAGAACGAAGAGAGTAAACGATTAAAAATTACCTTTCTCTTTACACGACGATATCTCGGCAACCGGAAGTCGTACCGAGATAAAACAAAAAATGTTTTAAAGGGGAAGGTTCCGCGCCTCTAACGATCGTTCATTCGTTGACCGGAAGTTATTGTCTTCGGAGTTATAGCGGTTCAAAGTTTTTCCAATTTTAATACGAGTTAATCGAGTTTCGAGCTAAATTAAGCGACATACACGTTTATTTTTGGAAGAACACTGCAACGATCTTATTTAACGGAGAGTTTAAATTAATTTAAATTGATAATTCGTTGGAAGATGGATATTTTTGGAAAATATTTCGTAATCGGACGGTTTCGAGTATTCGCGTGAAAATTCAAAGTTATTATATTTTCCTCCGCGTTTGCTCGTACGTACGTATACTCGAGGAGAAGCATCTCCCACACGTCTCGGCCGATGGAATGCGGTTGCCGGAGCAAATAAAATATCAAGAAGTAGAATTCTATCCTCGATGCGCGATACCCACGGGGGAACGTGACAAAAGGCCGTTGTCAAAGTGGCCGGGGATGTATCCGTAAATTCTCTTGCTCGAGATCAAAAGAGAATTATCGTTATCCCGTTTTAATAGCAAATTACCGAATCTTACCAGGAGGCCGCATTAAAGGGAAATTAGCGTTGCTCTAACGAGCGCGATACAACGATTAGTGTGAGTACTTTCTCTTGTAGCCTGGAACGCGATTTATCGTTTGGAAACGCGATATATATATTTAATGCTTGAAGCATTTATGATATCGAGTTATTTGAAAAAATTCGTGTTATTAGGATGGGAGAAAAAAAAGAAAATAATTAATACACGCGAATGATACGATCTGTAACGGATAAAGTAATAAATTTTGAGAAATTCGTTTCAATAAGAAACGATCGTTCCTATCGACGACGCATCGAATC